GGGGGGTAAGTCGCCACTTGTAAGTTCTAAGCTTTTCTTTACCTCTGGTGTTTCAGTCTGTCAGTCTTACATGATCCCCGCTGTAAATAAACGTTATCGTGTTGATGCGTTTCTCTGCACACTAGATCTATCTAAGAAGCAAAAATATATAATTTGATCGAATGATTCCTGTAGTGCACATAATTCTTCAGTCCAGAAAACTGCATTCATTTTTTTCATGTGGTGATGGTTTGAATGGTTGCTTTAAACCAAAAACATAGGCTCAGGTCCATCTGGCATTTAACAAAGCTGGGAAGAAAGACTTAAAAGTAATCTGTAAAGAAAGATAGCCTGACACTGAAAAGCGTAGTTGGTGAAATCTTCTTATACAGATTCTTCTTTGCATGTGATTTCCGTAGGCGAGAATATAAATCACGAAACTAGATCAATAATCAAGCACTAAAAAAACTTTTCTGATTGATTTTATCAGAGTGCCCTTTTAACGCAAGTAAACATGTACTTAGAGTTGCTAAAAGGGTGAGACAATTCTTTTAAAAACATACCAACAATCGTCATCTTGCCGGTAGTTACCGCATTCCACCGAATGACGAGGAAAAATAGAAGAAACACACGGACCTGTATACCTTTTTTTTTCTTTATGAATCTGGGAAACCTGGAGATACAGTCACACAAACCGATGAACAGAGAAAGTGGAGAGACATAGAATAACATCTAGAGGCTAGTCCAGGATAGGGAAATGTGCAAGGTATTTGTTCGTGGCCTATACCCTGATCCAGGGTGAGAAAGGCAATGATGATGATGAATCCGGGAAGTGGTGAGTGGGGGAGGTGGGAAGGGGGGTGGGGGTAGGGCTATATCTTTTGAACTTATTCCCGAGTTTCCCTTTTCTTTACTCATCCTCGCTTGTTTCTTATCAATGTGCTGGGTGTTGTAATTTTTTTTAAACATTTAACCACAAGTTGATGTTTTCGTAAAACTCTCAGGTCTGAAAGCAATACTTTAAAATCAGAATAAGACTAAGCAGGGGAAGAGCTATGTAGTTGTATAACGTACTGCTCTATGCCCAGTGTAACCTCTCGTCGAGTGATTGGAAATGGAAATCACCTCTGGTGCTATAATGTATACAAAGTTGGGTCATCTTGGCGAACAGGCTGGGGTGCCAAAAATACCCCTCTTGTTTTCAAAGACATTCTCAATTGGTCGTTTTTAAGGACAAGCGGGCTAACCCAGATTTCGGGGGTTCCAGAAATCTTAACCTACACTCAAAGTGGGCATTGATTGCCCTGCCTATATGAGAAGTTTGGTTTCTTTGGTGTGTATATTGGTTTGGTTATAGAGAAAACGCTTCTTGTCTTTTAAAGAAATTGGATGAGGGCCAAAAATTTAACTTCTATTTTCTAAAAACAACCTTTTTCGAGATAGCCCCTTTGTGCTTAAAAGCAACCAATTTGCCCCAAGTCTAAACAGCCAACAAAGGACCCGGTTCCAATAATGGCCTTTCTTTCCATAATGATCAGGGGTAATTGCAAAGGTTTAACACCCCTTTCAACACTGTACGGTTATTTAAAAGGCGCGACCTCAGAATTTAACGTCCGTCTCCGATAGACCCAGCCAAATGGGTGGAGAGCCTTAAAAACTCCCGAAAACAACCAAAACAACTCAAGATCAGAACGCCCCGTTGGCAATTCAAATCAGATCCAGTCACTCTGTAGCCCAGCATGATACCTATTGAGCTAACAGTGGACCCTCTCTGAGATTTAAAAAAAAGCTTAAAGTTGAGTTTAAGAAAAAGGCGTTCCAAAAATCCCCACCACGGCAAATAATTACCCACACCAGGTCATCAAATTCCCCACCCGTGTTAAAAAAATAATATAGCATTCAAATCTTGTACGTGTGTTTTCTTAAGCAATAGACCCCCCTCGTTTGCGTTAAAAAAAATATATAATGATAATGTTCAAGACGTCATCTGTCCAAGACAGTCAGCTGTACAAACCACACTTGTCACTTCCCCTTTGAGGTTTTTAAAATAAAAATTACAATGACAATATTCAAGACTTCCTTCTGGCCAAAATAATCTCTTGTACAAAGGTTACTTCTTACTTCCTCATTGTGTTTTCATATCATAATGACACATATCGAAGACTTCCACCTGTGTAAGACAATACCTTGTACCAACATCACTTCCCTTGCGTTTTTTAAATATAAAATGGCAGCGTTCAAGACGTCCACCTGTCTAAGACAATCACCTGTACAAATATCACTTCCCGTTTCCCCCC